TGCAGAGATGCGCAGACGTCATTGTTTGCCATATTATGCCATATTATTCTATCTACCACATCCGCCTAGGGATATTTCGACTATATCTCATATTTATCTGTCTTCGCCATGTATCAAGGGGCACAGCTTCGCTGCGAATTCTTGGTCAATTGTATTGTACTGTTGAGTTCTAACCACTGTAGTAACAAATGAAGATTATAAAATACTGCGAACACAATGGCTGCTTTTCCACACCTTGGTCTCTATTACCCCTCGACGCCTGATTTCCTGCAAACATATCTGTTACTACGAGTTGGTCACTATGGTGTCTATCTACGGCCTTGGGAGATAGCTCCGCCGTCTCGACAATTCTGGCTAGATCGCAGCCGTAGAGAATCCCTTCGATCCGGCTTCTTCACAAGACTGACGCGAAAAGAGGAAAAGGGATATAGACGGCGTAGAACTTCCAGATATATCTGATCCAGCTCCAGGAGAAGGAGAGATAGTATATTGTATACATTGACTCTTACTCATACCAAAGTCACCGAAGGCGGAACATTCTCCGCCTCTTTTACACTGTTTTCTATCCTGTGGGGACGGTGGTTTGATAATTCGGGCCTCTCGACTCCTCGTACTGGGTACAAAGTCTTCTCGATACGCGGCATACTTACTAAGTACGTACCTAATCTAGCACGTGGGTGGCACGGCCTAGGTAGATATCCCTGACGAAATTGTCTTCCGGTGACTGGCTATACTTTCCGGCCTTTGGCATGTGCTCGCCCAGTTCATACCCAGTCAGCAGTAGAGCCTCCGCACCTCCGGAGCCACGGTGCCTTTTCACGCTCCGCTCGCTGTCTCTTGCCCCTTTCTTCTACTTTCGGCCATTTGACACCCTCTATTCAGTTTTCATTTACCGATATCGCCGCGCCGACCTGTACGAGTACATACCTCGTAGAGGTGCTGGGGCCCACGCTGTTAGTTCGGGCGTCTTTTCGTTTCTTTGTACATACCTCTCTCAGTGGTGGGAGCTGGGACCTGTCAGTCAGTAGTACGAAGCATATCGCACTCCAGTGTCGGCTACGGTCCTCTGAGGCTCCATGATGGCACATGGGATCGACGTCAACTTTTCCACCTCGTACAGCCCTGACTAGCTGGCTAGCTGGATCTGTTTGTCCGAGCGAGGGGATATATACTCTCTTGATTGACGCTATAATATCCTCATATTTCCCTTCGCGAATCTCAATCCACGGCGATATCAATTCTCACTTATTTTGTTCTCTCATATACCTTTCTTTGCTTTTGAGGCGAGAGAGCCCCCGAAAAAAAAAAAAACGTCATTGTGCCATCACACCAATCAAATCTAGAAACGGAACATCCACCGACTGACCTATTGTCTTGAGATTCTCTTGTGTCAGATAAAATTGAGACAGCATCCACTCGCGCGAGGGATTTTGGTGACACTGAAGGAGTACTCGGTACAGATCCTCAGACATAAAGAGCACTGAAGAGAAGACAGAATAGATCAAAAAGGCTGACATATGGCTGGGGATTATCCTCGACTTGGTCGCTCGGTGGCAGCACCAGAAAATGCACAACAGAGCAGCAATGGGATAGATTCACATCATGAAAACAGTGACGATCGGCCTGGAGCACCGCCGATGCGGGAGAAGGAGGCTGAGACGCCGCCTATACCTGATGCCACTACAAGCCACACGCAGAAGGAGACGGAAGCCAACGCAGAGAGTTGGCCGGTCTGCGCGGACTCGGACTTGACCAGGCACGACACCGAAAATATCACGACCACCAGGACTATGACTCTGGACCACCAGCCCAGCGTAACCAAGACGGTCTCGCGCGTGCCCACCGCAATAAAACCTCCGTCCTTTTCCCTTGCACACGAGATCCTGTTCATTGCCGTCGTCAGCTCGGCGCAACTCCTGACCCAGTCGGCGCTCGCGCAGTCCATTGCACCCCTACATGTCATCGGCCGCTCCTTCAACACCACCAACCCGGGCCAGTTGTCTTGGCTTGCTGCAGGCTACTCCCTGACGGTAGGGACGTTCATTCTCCCCGCCGGGCGATGGGGGGATCTGTACGGACACAAGAGGCTCTTCTTGGTCGGCTACTTCTGGTTCGCGTTGTGGTCGATGATCGCCGGTTTCGCGGTCTTCTCGCGCTCCCTGATCTTCTTCGCCTTCTGCCGCGGCATGCAAGGTATCGGCCCGGCGATCTTGCTCCCCAACGGCATCGCCGTGCTAGCCCGGACTTATCCTCCCGGAAGGAGGAAGAACATGGCTCTCAGCATCTTCGGGGCCACCGCACCCGTGGGGTTTGTCCTCGGCGCCATTTTCTCGGGCATCTTCGCCCAGTTCGTCTGGTGGCCTTGGGCGTACTGGGTCTTGGCCATGGTGCTGGTTGTGATCGGGGTCTTGGTCTTCTTTGTGGTCCCTCCCATGCCCGTCGCAGGGCCCTCGGCGTCTTTCCAGGAGCTGGATGCCACTGGCACCGTGCTTGGCGTGCTGGGTCTGATGTTCTTCAACTTTGCCTGGAACGAAGGGCCTGCGTCTGGATGGGGCAAAGTGTATGTGTATGTCCTGCTCATCATTGGCGTGGTATTCCTTGTCGCATTCTTCTGGTTTGAGAAGAAGAGAGCCACGTTCCCGTTGCTGCCCATGTCGTCCTTCACCATGGACACGAATCTCGTTTTTGGCTGCGAAGCACTGGGTTGGAGTTCGTTTGGAGTCTGGGTATTTTATCTCTGGTGAGCAACGTCCTTCTTCACTCATCACCCTAGTGCTGAGGCCTTTGCTAAATTTCCCCTTTTCTCAGGCAATTTCTCGAGCTCGAAAGGGGCCAATCAATTTTGCTCTCAGCTGCTCAGAGCATCCCGACGGCGGTGTCCGGTTGTATAGCGGCGATAACCACCGGACTTCTAATCGCAAGAATGCAGCCGGGCTGGATCATGCTCATCAGCATCAGTGCCTTCTTGACAGGAATGATCCTGCTTGCCACGATGCCGGTGCACCAGACTTACTGTAGGTTTGCCCCTCCCTCATAAGAAGTCCACGACCTACCATATGGAACTCTGTTTCAAAGCCTGTCGCTTCGCGAATCCGAACCATCGCTAACAAGAAGTCAGGGGCGCAAACTTTCGTGTCGACCGTCATTACTCCCTGGGGAATGGATATGTCGTTCCCATCCGGGAATATTGTGCTGTCTGACCATATGCCGCCCGAGCATCAGGGATTGGCGGCATCCCTCATCAACACAGTCATCAATTACAGTATTTCCATCGGCTTGGGCATCGCAGGGACTGTCGAAGTTCATGTGAATGACGGTGGTCGTAACCCGCTCCAAGGCTACCGCGGAGCCTGGTATTTGGCAATCGGACTTGATGGACTGGGCATTTTGTGTGCTATATGTCTGATTCTCTCTTGGAGAGCGCAGGTCAAGGGTAAAGAAAAGGTCAACAGTGAGAAGGTGGATTTGGCGTAGTCTAGGCTTTCAATTGTTTAGATGTCATCAGCTTCAGTCAAGCCCTCAGCCAACTGCAGCATCTTCCAGTTCCAGGACTCCATCACCAGGATGGCGTATCTTTTGAGAAGCCATGTCTTTCAGCTATTCCAAAAGGCAGTGTCTGATCAGAACCCTAGTGCTGTCAATGAACCAGGACTACAGGCTCTTGTTGGAACTGCCAGGCTAACGTTCGAAACGAGGAGGGAGAAATGTAAACCCAGTCACATCTGATTTCCTCCCGAGTGCTGCTTGGTGAACAATATGCGTTGCCCGAAGCATTTTGTTCCCTTGTTTGCAGGACCGCCACAGACTGGAGCAAGCACATCAGAGGCAAGACTTCTGGAGCAGGCAGCCTGCAAATTCCCGTAGGAAGAGTCCTCAGGCGAACAACGGTCATTCCGAATCTGACGGCGGTCCAGCATCTCCGTTATCTGTCTCGTCTGGGTGTACATCGGCGTTTTGGAGACCTTCGTTGAGAATATATTCCTCCTTGATGAGTATGCTGCGAAGCTCTTCTGTTCTAGGTGTGCAGATTTCGGCAGGTTTTCTGCCATGTTTGTCTTTGACTCTAGGATCACCTCCAGCGTCAATCAACATTTTGGCCATTGCTTGTCCGAGTTCCACTTCTCGCTCGTTCGCGTACTTGACTGCGGAATGAATTGGGGTCTCTTTTTCCCTTCTGTTCAAGGGATCGCACTCGAGGAACTCAATGTTGAGTAGTTCGTCCATAACATCATCTGAAAACGAGTCAATATAATGCCTGTCGCAGAGAAAGCCTTGTTCACATACATGCTCCATAACTTGCACATACGTGTAAAAGGTGATTTCCCATGGTGTCTGTGGTGGAGTTGAAGAAGTCTGCTATTTGTTCCTTGCTTTTGTCCTTCATGTCATTGAGAACTTCGTGAAACAATTCGACATTGTCTCTCCGACATGCTTCGAGGATCTGTTCTTTCGGAGATGCGCCCTGCCAAGCTTGTCAATGGAGAGTATGAGATACGGATACAACCAGCTCACATCAACATGCTCAGCCATGATGGCTGCCTGGAGAGCCGTAGAAACGTAGTTGGTCACGAAAATAAGACCGTGTTCGCTGAACCTCGTACAGACGCTTTTACCGTTTCGCAACCCTCGACTCCGCGGCGGATGGTCACGGGTTGGGTAAAGGACTTGATGGACGGTAGCAGACGGGGTGATCGCTTTGAACGCGCTGGAAGGACCGACGAGACAGAAGGAGTGAACGGGAGCAGAGGCAGAACGAGTTCTATAATAATGAATTGCAGACAAAGGGGCACTTCAAACACTCGATCCAGGCATCCCGCCAACCCTTCGACACAAGCCAGCGCCTCATGAAGCAAAATTGCCGAGCACCCCCGCTCTCCGCTTTGTTTTTTGCTGTGTTTGCAAGTTTTGTCCAAATCACACCTGCGTTCTCAGTACCTACAGATTTTCTCGGGAACGAGCACCACCTTCTCATTGCCAGGAGGTGTTCACCTCCTTGAGCCATGGCTCCCACATGTAAGCAAGCACTTCCAGTCTCTGAGGGCCTCTTGTTAACGGCGCTGAAACCCAGTCTGTCCATACTGCTGCAACTGCCTCACAATCGCCCGTGCCCCAGGAGACGACCAATATCCTCAAGGTCGCAATGCTTTTACCTGCCGGACATGCCCTTACCAATTCGTCCTTGACGATCAGTACTACGAACGTACTCACATGAAGAAGAAAGAGAAGGATGACATCCTGGGAGAGGAGCAATCTGACTTGCCAGTCAACGAAGGTACTCCATGCCCACACCGAATGACGCAAAGAGAAGAACGTTACTGACGCTGTGTACCTCGTAGTTCCCGGAGGCTGCCCAAATGAGAAATGTGACTCCAAAAAGGCCTACTTCTACCAGTTACAGACACGGAGTGCGGATGAACCGCCTACCTCTTTCTTCAAAGTAGGTGTTGGATTCGTTCCAATTCCCTGGTTCAAAGACTGACAAAGCGCAGTGTATTGAATGCGGAAAACAGTGGAGAGAATATTGATCCATCATATGTACACATCTCGTCCCCGGCCGCCTGAATGGCTCCTTCCTCTATGACAAAATGCGGAGATGTGGACCAAGGATCGTTTCTTTGGTAAAGAGGAAGAGCCAGAATGCAAGGCTAAGAGTACATGTGGTTGCCTGACACAGAATTGCCTTGAAATCAAAAATTTTGGCTTGTCGAGGAAGAAGCCAGGCAAGAGCGAGAAAAGCTCGCAATACTCAAGCATAATCTGATTGAGGTCCACTTGCGGAACGAGAAGCCGAGGATACGCTGTCGTTGACGAACTCCACCCTCCCTCTGCCACAAGTGACAGTTAGCAACTGGAAATACCAGTGCAGAACATTCATCTGCAATGGGAAGGGAATTGACAGGCCAACTGGCATAACATTAGAGGCAACCAGGTATGGCCTGTAAGGGATATCAGAAAAGGAAAGCGCGAAATAGAAAGATGAGTCAGTGCTATTGATACCACACAGGAGTGGTTGGTGGCATGGGAGCACATAAGTCTTTGGACCCAAGTCAGATGGAGTTGATGACTCTTAACTCCGTGGGAGGGGTACATATCGAAGTGAAAAGAACTCGACCGTCAAACAGAGAAGAGGCGCCCTCAGAAAATTGCCGCCAGAAGATTGTGTTGAAGAGGTCTTTCACTGTCTTGAGGGGCGAATCTATCTGGAACTTGGTAGGTGGTGGATAAATAGTCAAGTGGTTGCCACAGATATAGCAGCCTCGGGGAGAATTTTTGTAGATTGTAGTTATCCAATTGGCCGATGGCTGTATGAGGCGACATTTGACACCCTGCAGGATCGTCTCAGTCGCTAGCACATGCCGAAGCTTTCTGTTCCTTCGCCAATCATGGGAGATACATTCAGTGGGCTGACGGAGACAGACCATGATGAGCACTCCGATGAGCTTAGGAGCCTGAGCGAGGAATGGAAGTTCGCGCAGTAGTGGGGCTTGGGCCGCAAAATACAGTGTGAGGGCGAACAACCTGTAGTGAACAGCGCCTCGAGTGGGAGTGAATGACGGTCCAGCACGGGTTTTTTGAGTCACTGCCACTTGGATGGTTCAAAACGCCAAGCTTCGTCCCTCGCCCGCCAGCCTACAAAATCTGTCGCACACTCTCGCCGACTTTGTTTCTCTCCCTTCTTCGTCGCTCAGTGAGTTCTTCACCCTACCCCTACATTTCCCATCACCCAGGACTAATCAGTCAACAGCACCTCTACGCAAGCCGTGGTACCTGAGCATTCGCTGGGAATTCTTCTAGTATCTGCCACAGAACTACAAGACTTCATAAACCATCACAAAACCTCCAATCCGTCACCATGGGGTAAGCCACAAACCTGCCCAAATCTGCCTGCGCTCGAGATCCATCGTCGAAAGCAACCCTCGATTTGATATCAATGATCATCGCTGACATGCATGCCTTCTGTTCAGTAAGGAAAAGACTCATATCAACGTCGTCGTCATCGGACACGTCGACTCCGGCAAGTCCACCACCACCGGTAAGAGGATGCCTACAAGACTGCAACGGCACAAATACTCACAATCAGATAGGCCACTTGATCTACAAGTGCGGCGGTATTGACAAGCGTACCATCGAGAAGTTCGAGAAGGTATGTTTTCATCGCTTCTTTTCGAGTCCCCCTTGCATTTGCCCTCATTTTGGACTTGCCACAAATCACTATCAAAAAAATTTTGGTGGGGGAGGGGTACAGCAAACAACACGTGACACGCCACTCGTTATCACAAGCCAATCCATTCACTGACAACCATGATCAACAGGAAGCTGCTGAACTCGGCAAAGGCTCCTTCAAATATGCCTGGGTGTTGGACAAGCTCAAGGCCGAACGTGAGCGTGGTATCACCATCGATATCGCTCTCTGGAAGTTCGAGACCCCCAAGTACTTCGTCACCGTCATCGACGCCCCCGGCCATCGTGACTTCATCAAGAACATGATCACTGGTACCTCCCAGGCTGATTGTGCCATTCTCATCATTGCCGCCGGTACTGGTGAATTCGAGGCTGGTATCTCCAAGGATGGCCAGACCCGTGAGCACGCACTGCTCGCCTACACCCTGGGTGTCAAGCAGCTCATCGTTGCCATCAACAAGATGGATACCACCAAATGGTCTGAGGATCGTTTCAACGAAATCATCAAGGAGACTTCCAACTTCATCAAGAAGGTCGGCTACAACCCCAAGTCTGTCCCATTCGTGCCCATCTCCGGCTTCAATGGTGACAACATGATCGACGTCTCCAGCAACTGCCCCTGGTACAAGGGCTGGGAGAAGGAGTCCAAGGCTGGCAAGGCTTCCGGCAAGACCCTCCTCGAGGCCATCGATGCCATTGACCCTCCCTCTCGTCCCACCGACAAGCCCCTCCGTCTTCCTCTGCAGGATGTCTACAAGATCTCTGGTATTGGGACAGTGCCTGTCGGTCGTGTTGAGACCGGTACCATCAAGGCCGGTATGGTCGTCACCTTCGCTCCTGCCAACGTCACCACTGAAGTCAAGTCCGTCGAAATGCACCACGAACAGCTCGCCGAAGGTGTTCCCGGTGACAATGTCGGCTTCAACGTCAAGAACGTCTCCGTCAAGGAGGTTCGTCGTGGCAACGTCTGTGGTGACTCCAAGAACGACCCCCCCAAGGGTGCCGACTCCTTCAACGCCCAGGTCATCGTCCTCAACCACCCTGGTCAAGTCGGTGCTGGTTACGCTCCCGTCTTGGATTGCCACACCGCCCACATTGCCTGCAAGTTCGCCGAGCTCCTTGAGAAGATCGATCGTCGTACCGGCAAGTCCATGGAAAACAACCCCAAGTTCATCAAGTCTGGTGATGCTGCCATCGTAAAGATGGTTCCCAGCAAGCCCATGTGTGTTGAGGCCTTTACCGACTACCCACCTCTTGGTCGTTTCGCCGTCCGTGACATGCGTCAAACCGTCGCCGTCGGTGTCATCAGTAAGTCCCTGCTTCTCTCAGTGTTACTACTAGAGCTTCGTGCTGACTATTTTCCAGAATCCGTCCAGAAGTCCGAGAAGGGAGGCGGCAAGGTCACCAAGGTAAGCTATCACGCACATATACATAGATTTCTGAATCTAACTTCGTCTAGGCTGCTGTCAAGGCTGGCAAGAAATAGATGTCTTGCACAGGAATTAATTCAATCCATCTACAGTGGTATTGTTTCTTGTGGCGGAGGTTGTGGAAGATTCACTTTCAGGAGCGGGCTTTCATTCCACGGTTCATGAATTGCGGGATACAAAATCTACTCCTGACCCTGGAGATTTCATGGTTTCCGCACGGTTAATTCTTGCCATCAACGGTCTTGTCCTTCTCAGCGGTTCTTTCACACGACAACCAATGTGTACTTGCTACGTTTCGGGGTACTGCTGGCTTTAACGAAAAAAGAGCATGGGTCGCTTTGACTCGAAATCGGGCTGTGCTTATGAAATGATAGAATGATTTCATGTCCATCAAGGGCTACTCACATAGCTCTACGGTCAATCAAAGGATGTGAATGCCCAAAAAACCGATCTTCAGGTCATCGTAGTCAGATTTATCTTGCTGTGGATACGTGTCAACGGTCGTGCTATCGAGAGGCCCTGTTGACATTTTGCCTTCTCATGTATGTCTGTTTCCTTTCGGTGTTGTTTCGTCACTGTGCGCAACTCCAAACAGGTCCTCTTTACACACTATAGGCGGCACCTGCACGCTATGGCTTCGTGGGAGCGTTCTAGCTATGTGTCTCGACCAGAGCATCAGGCCTCTTATAATTCTTTGACCTGTTCCATCCCATTCCCGCTGCCAGCTTGATTGATTACCAAGCAGTGTAGCCGCCATCTACGATCTGGAGAGTAGGTCAGTTAAACCTCCTCACCCTCTACCGACTGAGAAGGAGAGAGGATGACAACAAGTATTTGACTCACCACATCACTTCCATTTAAATACTGCACCACAAATGTTAGCCCGTGTTGAAGTTTACCGCGCCAGAGCAATAGAACCTCTTCTCGTTCTTTCAGAGAGAAAAGGTGGAACTTACGCTGCTCGCTCCACTGGCCATCCAGACAATCGTGCCCCTCAACTCGTGTGGCTCTGCCATTCTTCCCATCGGAATGTCCTTTTCCCAGTTGTTCACGAGCTCTTTGCCTTCATTCTCCAACAGTCCTTTTATGAGATCCGTCCTCATATAGCCTGGGCTGAGGCTGTTGACTCTGATTCCTCTTGGACCCCATTCCGTCGCCAGGGACTTGGAGAGCATCTGCACAGCGCCCTTGGAGGTGTTGTAGGCGGCTTGCTTTTGAGGGCGGACACAAATCGTCGCAGACATCGATGCAATCAGTATGATAGAACCCTGGATCTTGTGTTGGAGCATGTGCTTGCCAGCCTCACGGGCGAAAAGCCATGAGCCGCTGTGAGAGTCCCTCGGTCAGTTCCAATAAATTCTTGTATATTACACACGGTAACGTGGAATGACTTGCTCAATGTTGATGTCCAACATCTTCCGCCACCGAGAATATTCGTAATTCTCAGCCTCGACGTTATCTACGATTCCAGCAGCCGTGACAAGGACATCGACTTTCCCAAAGTCTTCCACGATCTTGGCCCACGTGGTCTTCACGTCCGATTCGATCGTGGCGTTGCACTCGTAGGCACGAAGTTCTGGGACAGGGTCATTTGGGTACGCGTCTCGGACTTGAGAGGCTATGGAGGCAATGGACGATTTGCAGTCCTTCAATGACAAGTCAATGCAAGCTCCTTTGGCGCCGGAGAGGGCAAAGGCCGTGAGGAATTCTTTTCCCAGTCCTCGCGCAGATCCAGTCACCACGCATGTTTTGTCTTCCAAAGAAAAGAGTGGCAGAGTTCGGAGGGTGCGACGAGGGGAGAGGAACGAGCATGATGTAGGCTTGAGTGGTGGGGACCGGGAAAGAGAGGTGAAAAGAGAGCGCAACGTTCGTGCAGGAAACATGTCTGCAGAGGTGACAAGCCCAGAAGAGAACAATCTTTGTGTCTATATCTTTTCCTAATTGTCCTGGACACCTTTTCGTTCTTCTCGTCTCCCGAATTGAGAAATTCTATGAAGGAGAAAGAGGTCGGACGCCTCCCATTATGCAACTGCGAAGAAAGGTGTTCTGGCCGACTGCGGGAGAGCTCCGTGCGGTTATTGCCTGTATGAGTACACAGCTTCGGGCCATCTTGCGCCGACGCGAGACCAAAACAAAGAAATCAGACTTTCTGAAGCGGCAGGGCGTGGTACGAGTTGAAGGTGTAGCAAGTTGTCAAAGGACAGAAGCAGTCGCCAAGTTTGGTCACCACGTAGCACAGCAGCTGCGGGGGACTTCGGCTCGACCGATCAAAGCTGAAACCTCGCAACCCACCAATTCGGCAAGATGCACAACTGGCGACCCAGTTGAAGCCTTACTAGCCCCCCTGGTTTCCGTATCTGCACGCCTAATGCACAGTTGTCCAGGTAGGTTTGGGGGCCGTTATGACGGGGCCAGCCAATTGTGCGTGTCAAAATGGTTTGAGCGTTACGCATGCCAGCAAAGGAAGCAATCCTAATTAAAAGGAGCCGCATGACTTGCTGGCACTGCATTTTAGCCACCGGTCCCTCCGCCTCTGTTCGGTTGTGTGCGAGAACCGGATAATTGTGCACAGGAAGCCATCGAGAGAGAACGGACGTTTTAACGTTGTCCCAAAGATGTCGTCCATGCTCGATGTGAGGGACGATCGCAGGTCCAGGTCTAAATCCCCGAGCGGTCGCGACAGAGATCGATCGAGATCTCGATCACGCGACGCCCGAGACCGGGACTCGCCCGACGAGTACAGCAGCAGGCGATCAAGCAGGAAATACGCCGAACCACAGGATGACCAGGAGCAAGATCGTGGGTACAAGGACAGGCGTTCTAGCAAGAAATATTACGATGAGGAAGAAGAAGAGCAGGACCGTCGCAATAGGAGGAGAAGCTCGAAGAAATATGCGGACGAAGACGACGAAGAGGACAAATATCGCTCTTACAGGTCCAGCAAGGACCCTCGAGTTCAAGCGCCCTCGGACGATGACAGGAACTATGAACGAAGGAAGAAGTCCGACAGCGACTCGGATCGACGCAGAGAGAGGCGAGGGAAGTCCAGCAGGGGGAAAGGCGACGATTCAGCGGAGGAGAGCGACTCAGACGCTCGTCGCAGATACAAAGACAAAGATCCTGGTTATCCAAATGGCAACGGGACATATCCCTATCCGCCAGGTGCCCACGCCGAGATGCGGCCAGAAGCAGTTCGCCATATGAGCTACACCGCCAACGATCCTCGATACGCTACCCCTGGAGCATATAATGGTGGTGGCTCTGCGCCTGCACCACAACGCGCGAGTTCCTACGGTGGTGCCAACGGTCCGCAGTACGCCAATCTCGAGCAGTATAAATACGCAGACCCGAGCGAAATTGCACCACGAAGACCAGAGTACGAACGATCTCGTCCATCAGACTACGAACGGTCCCGCACAAAGGATACTAGGGAAAATGGTAACGACTACAGGAGTAGCAAGTATGAGACACGTACCCCAACGGATAAGAAATACGACGACGACAGATTTGAGACCCGAGAACCCAAACGCAAAGATCGCCGCGATGAGTACGACAATTACGCTAGGAGCGACCGGAGGCGTGACAAGGACAGATATGGCTCCTCGCCAGAAGAAGTGACCAAGAGGATGCCAACTTTGGCAATAGGAGGAGCAGCGCTGGGTGCTGCAACGTTAGGCGTGGCACATAACAACTCTCATGATGGCAACAAGCCTCCACCTTCACCCTTACTTGAAGCATACAAGGGGACATATCAATCCATTTCACCCATGCCTTCAGCCTTGGTTCTGGCCAACCACAAAGGCGATTCGGATTTGTCTGACTTCGAGCTTGATCTAGATGATCGCGATGCGGATGCGGACGCAGAGCTGAAACGAAAGATACGTCAGCTCGAAAGGGAGAAGGAAAAATACACGAAGGGACACAACAGGGGTGCCAGTCTCGCAGAAACGACTCACGAGGTCCGACCACGTCGGCTGTCAAAGCTCGATACCAATTTGGATGTTGAAGTCCGCGAACCTGGCAGTGCCAATCGCGACCGCTCACCATCTAGGAGCATAATGTCGCCAGGAGGGGGGAGCGGGAGAAGGAAGACCGTTTCATTCTACGACCCAAGTGAGGATGCCAAACGTATCGCTGCTGCTCTGGCAGGCACACGGTCCGCACCAGATCCACGTCCGCTGGTACAAATCTTGCCCCGCCTTTCTACAGATGATCTGCTGGCCCTTCGGGCAGAATACAAGAACCACGCCAAAGTGAGTGGGCAAGGTATCAACATGGCCAAGCACATCAAAATGCGTATTCCTGGAAATCTGGGGAAAGCGTGCTATGCAACCGCCCTAGGCCGATGGGAAAGCGAGGCATATTGGGCCAACTCATGGTACCAAGGAGGTGCTTCTCGGCGAGAGTTATTGATTGAGAGTCTGATGGGCCGCTCAAATAGCGACATCCGCGAGATCAAGAACTGCTTCAAGGACAAGAAATACAGCGATGACCTCGAGAAGTGTATCCGCACAGAACTGAAAGCTGACAAGTTCCGAGTCGCTATCTTGTTGGCGCTCGAGGAGAGGCGAATGCCAGAATCAACGCCACTGGACATCAGGCTCATCAAGGAAGATGTGGTGCAGCTGGCAGAAGCCTTGGAATCGAAGGGCGGAGAGACGGATATGATCAAGATCATTGTCCTGCGGAGCGATGCTCATTTACGCGAAGTCCTCAGGCTATTTGAGCGGACTTACGGCGTCAACTTTGCGCGGCAGATGATTTCCAAGTCGAGGAATTTGGTCGGCGAGACATTGGCACATATTCTGAATGGTGCATTGAACCGCCCCATGCGTGATGCACTGCTGCTACACCAGGCCATCAATGAGACAGCTCCAGGGAAAGAGCGGACGGAACTATTGATATCCAGGCTTGTCAGAATGCACTGGGAGCCCAAGCACCTGGAACGGGTGAAGGCGGTGTATAGAGAGCGATATAGGTGCAGCGTGGAGGAGGATGTCAAGAGGGAGGTTTGGGGCCAGATGAAGACAGTGGAGGGACGTTTCTGTGCCGAATTCTGCATTGAATTGATCAGGAGCAGTTCAATATAGAACGACGAGGGAGGATTTCAGAGATGAATCTTCATGGTAAGGCGCAGTCGCGATCTCAGACAGCGACGAGAAGAGTTGGTTCGAGGTAGATGTAGGAGGTGTTTTTCCGGATAGCTGGACCCGAAAGCGAGTCGATGAAGACTCTAAACATAACAGGCAGCCTGAATGAGAAATGACAACTATCTCAATGGCTTCCATCCTCGTAGTTGTATCGAGAGTACAGGAGAATTACTCAGAGTGTATGGAGATCCCGCCACAGATAAAACTCGGTGCAACTCAAGATCCGAGCCCGACGATCGATCTGGAAATCTGCTGCATGCTCGTCATCGATATCGCCTAACACCGGCGTATCTGAGGGAGTTTTCCAGGCAGATCTCATTTTCTATCGCGTGCATGCCCTAGACCTCTTCAAAACACTTCGTCATGGTCGTTTTGAGGCCCGTCGTTTCCTCATGACAATCGCAGCATGGCGCATCTGCGCCCAATGCTCCCACCAGCTCTCCCTTCCTCGACCCGGTGCCCGTCGCCTGGCTGTGTGGCGGATTTCTCCACAGCAGCCTCTACGATCACTGTCTCAGACTAGCCTGCGCAGTGCCTTTGCACCTCCGACACCTGCATCGCTTGGGAAAGCCGTGCCCGCCAGACAATACAAGAGGACGAAAAAATGGGTGCGCAGACTCGCATACTTATTCCTGGGCGGGACGGTGGTGTATGCGGTGGACAAGAGATACTACGCATCCAGTCTTACGAGGAGTTTCCGCACTTTTTCCATGGGCTTGATTGCCGCGCTGGACTACAAGATCAATTTTCGAGAGGATCCGTGGTTCGCCAACGACATCGCCGAAGTGCACGCACGTAACGCCACGAGGTTGTTCCATCTCCTGCGGACGAATGGCGGTCTCTACCTGAAGATTGGCCAGGCCATTGCCATGCAGACGGCCATCTTGCCTCCCGAATTCCAGAAGATGTTCTCCAAGATGTTCGACGATGCACCGCAGAATGACTGGGATGACGTGCGGCGGGTCATCATGGAGGACTTTGGCGGTCGGACGCCCGAAGAGGTGTTTGGCGTCTCCTTCGAAGGTGATCCTGAGGCGGGCGTCATGGAGAGGAAAGCCCGTGCCAGCGCGAGCGTGGCACAGGTACACTGGGCCAGGCTGAGAGATGGACGGGAAGTGGCCATCAAGATACAGAAGAGGGAGATTGCTCAGCAAGTCGGATGGGACCTGTGGGCTTTCAAGGTGGTGACCCGAATATACACGTGGTGGTTCGACCTGCCTCTCTACTCACTTGTTCCCTATATCACGGAAAGGCTCCTGCTGGAATGTGATTTCGAGAGCGAGGCGAACAATTCCAAGGAGATGGCCAAACTCATCCGGGGCGAGCCCAGGTTACGGGACAGGGTCTACATCCCTAAGATTTACGACGACCTCTCTACAAAAAGGGTTATGACTGCTGAATGGGTCGAAGGCGTGCGGCTGTGGGATAAGGAGGCTATCACTCGACCCTGGCAGGGGGGCTGGCGAACTGGCAGTCCGGGTTGTCACGGCACTCCGCTCGATCCGCCTGAAACCCCCATCACTTCGCTGCAGGAAAAGGCTCGGTTGTACAACGAAGAACTCAAGCCGGACAGGACATGGTGGAGGGGCTCGAATGGCAAGGGTGGTCTGGGTCTCGATCTCAAAGAGGTCATGACCACGATGGTTGACTTATTCTCTGCCCAGATGTTTCTATGGGGCAAGGTGCATTGTGATCCTCATCCTGGGAACATCTTCGTTCGACGGCTCCCCAATGGTCATTCCGAGCTTGTCTTGATCGACCATGGCCTATACATCACCATGTCTCCCTCATTCCGACATCAATATTCCCTATTCTGGAAGTCTCTGATGACATTCGACAACAAGACCCTCAAGGAAGTCGTCAGCCAGTGGGGCATCAACAACGCCGAGGTCTTTGCGTCTGCTGCACTCATGCGTCCCTACGAAGGAGGGGATCATTCAGTGACGACGCGATTGAAGGGCATATCAGAACACGAGAAGAAACGGCGCCAGTACGAGCTGCAACAAGCCATGCGCAAGGGCATCAAAGAAATCTTGGCCGACGAAACCAAGTGGCCGCGCGAGTTGATCTTCATCGGTCGCAACATGCGCATCGTCCAGGGCAACAACCAGTACCTGGGCAGCCCCGTGAACCGGATCAAGATCACGGGCAACTGGGCCTCGCGGGCGCTGGCCGAGGACCAGCACCTGACGTTCGTCGAGAGATGGAAGTTCTTTGGCAGCCACCTGATGTTCAAGCTGGTCCTGTGGGCCTCGGACGCGTACTTTTGGTACGCGAAGCTCAAGCAGGCGCTCGGGAGGGGCAAGGGCATGGACGACGACGTCGAACAGCTCATGAGGGGCATGGCCAAGGACTATGGCATCGAGATGAACCACAGTGTCTTTGAAGGCTGAGTCTGCCTCTTTCCTTTCTTGGACATTTGTACAATGTACCGATACCTATGTACTTTCCTTCCTACCTTGTTTCTTTTTTGGATTTTGTCTGGTCAAAAGACATGGAAACATCCAAAGAAGAGTTGTTTTTTTGGTGTTAGATAGAGCCACGGACTCATTGACTCGCCGACTCACTCAGTGGCTGAGTGAGTGAGTGAGGAAGGAACAAGGAAGAAGGACCAAGGATAGATACATGCATACATATATGTATGTATGTATGCATGTATGCAAGTAGATAGATAGATAGACTAAAGTCCGCTCAGCAAATATCGACATGATGTCCTATGATATGATCATCACGTCTCAGAGAATCTTTGATTTTATTGACGAGGACCCGTAGTACCAAGCACCGGTTAGCAAGGACTGGGTATCGAGTACTGAGTGTCGAAGACTCTGTAGCGTGTACTCTATACTCCGTACCCATACTCGGTACTCTGTACGCCGACACACAGAGAGAAAGAGACAGACAATGGACAGTGGACAAGGGTTGATATCTTGATTCCGGTACACTGGTATGTATGTAGGATGTAGGTTACTGTAAGTTGCAAGGCTGAGACCATGGCTACCCCGTCAGCAGCCACCGCAGGAGACGTTCAGGTCCTGCTCCTGGTGCACCTGCTTTGAGAAGTTGCAATTTTGTCCGCTCTTGTGTAACAAGTTCTCGCTTCTGCAACTGATATAAATTTTTCGGTATATTGATACGTCGTCTTCTTCCCGGAGACCAACACAACATAGTTGACAAAAATCCCCAAAAGCAGAACCTGCAATATAATTCTGGGTATGTTAGATCATTGGCGACAAGACAACCAGAGCGCCCAACGCCGCAAAATACATCATTACACCAAGTCCTTGCCATCGATGGCGGTGTAGTGGTCTTCCAACGCCCTGGCTCGCCCTCAAGCCGCAAAACACCCCAAGATCCCTTTCTTGGACGAACGCTTCAAGGCAAGTGCGGCGAACAAGATATACAATTCAATGGGCACAATGTACCATTCAAGAGGACAACGAAGCCAGCTCCCATCCAGCGACGAGTAACCAAAATTTTGTGGGATGACAGAGTTTACATCATCATCATCATTCTGGTAGCTCGCTTGCTGCTGAAGCTGGGGCGTGGGGAGCTTTCGCCGCCGGCCCATGGTTTGTGCAGGAAAGGTTGACCATCGACATTATCCCAGTGAGCAGTCTGTGTAGTGGCGGTGCTGCTTCGATTCGCGTTGTAGTGGGCTTTGGGAATGGGCATCAGGTCAATGGTGCTGCCGCGGTATAGTGGTCCCATCAGTCGGTCCTTGACCGACTTGTTTCGTCGAGGCATGGCTGACTTCTCAGGCGGGTTCTCGACGAATTTATCGGGCTTGTCTGAGCCATCTTGATTCTTCTCGCCTGCGAGGATGGCCCGTTCTTTATTGAGAGCTGCTAGATGTCGAGAGCGGCGGAAGTGGATGATGAAGAAGGCGAAGAGGCCAATGACGATAATGGCCACAACTGCGAGACCGACACCGAGACCAGCTTTGGCACCTGTGCTCATGTCGCGTTTATGAAGGTGTGAAATTGGCGAAGCCAAAGTGTTTGAGGGAAAGGTCGCCACGAGGGCGAGCAAAGCCGCAGGATACAGAGAATGAGCCATGGATAGTGACATGGCGATTCTGGAACAAAGTGAATCTGGATAGATTGCGATGACTTGTACGACGTCTTCGACCAGCGACACAGAAGTAATTCGAAGGGGAAAACCGAAGGAAAGATTGTTGGGACGGGTCGAGTGGTGATGTTGGAAAGAGGCGAGAAGATCTTCAGAGAGGATGAGGCGTACGGAGTAATATGCACGAAAGGGGACCAGGGCAAACCAGAGCCTGTGGAAACGGTGGGTAGAAGGGTGTGACGGAGGTCCTGAAAGACGTCAATGGATAGTAAGTAAGCACTTGATGGAAAAGAAAAAAGTCCAAGTATGTAAGGAACGAGTCACGGACAAGTAAAGATGCAAGAGGGAGACGCGGGTGTGAAGCTTGAGCGGCAGTATTTGGCGTCTTTGAACCTGATCTTCTCAATTCTCTTGAGCATCCAGGGCTGAAGTGGCACCAACGAGCAACCAGTGACCAGCAGCAAGCCACCAAGCATCCAACGCAGCGTCGGCGACACGGACAAGGGAAGAGGAAAAGGAGATGCGCCTATCCGAAAGGAGTACAAAAGAGTGGTTCTCCTGGTGGCCCGCAGCTTCATCTGAAACGTTGGATAGGCCGTTGACGGGCGGCTGATTGGAGGACGCGCTCGTATGGATCCCGCCAGGTCTGTCAGGCTCGAGAATAGAATAGAGATTTAGACATTGCGTGGGACCTGGAGCTGAAAAGGACTGAGCGCAATGATGGACGGGGTTCCGTGATTGGATGCAGGGGGGGATGCACCGATCAGCCAGGGCTATCCTGGACCTTGGCTTTGTCTGGGGAAATTCAGGTTCGGATGGACGCGAATGGACATGGACGGACTTGGATCTGCTGCCTTGGGTCCGCGTAGTTTCTTGGTATTATCTTGACATTGCCACTGCTCGTACCTTGAGGAGAGAGACTCGGCTCGTATCAGGAGGCGCTTGGAGGGGGAACAAGTCAGACTGCAGTGAACAACGAGTCTTTGGTGAGAGAAAAGAGGGCATGGGAAAAATCTGGAAAAAGCCACACAAATCAAAGACTGTTTCAGGTCGGGCGCCTCTTCATCCTCTCACTCAACCTTTCCAAGCTTCCCACCTTCAACCTTCAACCTTTCAGCCTCCTGGGAACAGGGCTCAACCTTGAAACTCAGGTGCCCAGCTCACCCAACTGAGGAGCTTGTCCAGGCCCAGCTTGTCCAGGTCCCAGCGTTCCAGTCGCTACCAAACGGGCGCAATTCCACATCTCCATCTGCCTTTTCCTGTTCCTGATCACCCAGGAACGCGCTACGGACTTTTGCCTCCAGACCGTCCCATTACTACTGGCTGCATCGCATCGCACGCGCACCGAGTGCCGGCCCTAAATCTTAGCCCCTTCGACTCCCACTCGTACGCAGCCCTCGCTCTGTCTTCCTCATGACATCTTCCTGGAAGCTTCATTTCCCATGTCACACGTGACGTAACATCAGAGACATGGGACACGCTTGGCTTGTTGACAAGAGATCGCGGGGCAGTAGCATAACAATTGTCACATCAAATGAACGTACGACTCGGGAGGATCAGAACTGGAACAATTGTGCTTCACACCAGGTCAAATAATATACCTGCCTCCCGAGTCCTCGTACAAACATCACGCATCACACGTTGCACGAAACATTGTCGCGTCTGCAACCCCCCATGAGATATACAGGGGGATCTGCCCGAATCCCTCCGAATGTGGTTCATGTGGGCTAGACAGCCAAAACACACAGCCTTGTGGGCTGGTGTTTTCAATAGTTCCAAGAGCAGAGTTCGAGACAAGTCATCAGAAGATGGGATCGTTCGTCATCCTTCTACTGACAACGAGGCTGTGCCCAGGAGATGGTGGGGGTCACGAATATTTCTTCCAGAGTTGTCCCTGCCATCATCTCCTGAGTCCTGGCCCCTTTTGCTAAAGTACCAACGGATGTTCCCTTTGAACTCCCTTTCTATGTTACGCGTGCCTTCTAAATATCCCCAAGCATGAAGCTCAATAAACTTCCCACAGTAAGCCCGCCGACAAGCATCAATCCCATGAAACCTCCCGCTGCCTCTCTCTCTTCCGGTAGTACCCATTGTCCTGATCCCATCATACACTCACTACCTAGATACCCATTTGTCAAGCCAAAAAGGAATTGCACAATGACCAAGTAGAAGAAATCACTTCTCACCACTCCGCCCTTGTTCTTGATGTTGCAGAGGAAATACAATGGGATGAACAGAAGACGTGCCATTGCGATGCAGAACAGGGCAAACGGATAGTGCGTGAGGGAGATCCTCGGCCACAGTGTGATCAATCTGCCAGCCAGATCGCCTATGTTCCATAGCAGGAAGGCTATTGGGATAAAGATTGCTGAGTCAATGTTGTTGACAGATTGGATCGACGCCGTAAAGATCGGGAAGACCATCGTCACAGCGAAACAGACAAAGACCGCCGACGCAAGGAAGGGCATTCTCATGAAGAGCGTGTGTAGCGGTACTGAAGGTCGTTGCTCGATGACGTCGTCCGTACCCTCGTCTCTTGCCGCTGCAAGGCTTCCTGTCGTCAAGGCATCGCCTTCAGAAGCTTCGTTGGCCGTGGATTTTGCCGCCGATTGGAGAGCTCGACTTTTGGCCTCTCTTTTCAAGAGATAAAAAAAGGCAAAGAGAGCAATGACTGAGATGGCAGTGGCCGTCAAGAAATAGACCAATGCTGAAGTGGGAGATTCGTCGGCCGCATCTGCACCATTGCCGTCTTTCTTAGCCGGGACCACCAGAACAGATATAATCTGCGCCATCGGTGGGAGGACACCTGCGACACCCTGTCCCGTCATGATACCCTGTGTATACTCGCTTCTTCCAAATCCTGATGCAAAGGAAAACAATCCATTTTGTAGTAGACCCGTAGAGAAGCTTGCCGCGAAGATGGCCACAAGGAGGAAGCCGAAATACACGCCTGCGGACGTGGGCACGAGTGTTGACAGAGACAGCACAGCGAACACTGCAGTGCTGAGCACAAGGGATAAGGATATTCGCCTCGGGTATGACGCCCCCTTTTGCAGCTTTGTCAATGCTATCATCGACCCGAGATTCGTGACCGTCGACACCGACACCTCGGCGGCTTGAAAGTGGTTTAGGATCCATCGATCTCCGCGGAAACGGTGCTGGAAGTAAGGCGCTGCGGCGAGAAACATGTTCCTGGACGTTTCTTGTCAACGATGAACATAACCCAAGCTCAGAGAGCCGCAGAGAGTAACAAACCAGGCCCATAGCATCGCGACCCCCAGTAGGAGAAAAATGGCGTATTCAACCCATGAGAAAGGTGTCTGGATCCCAACATCCTCATCCGACCCATCTTGTATACTCTCATCGTCTCTTTCTGCATCACCTCGGATGGGTTGATATTCCTGTCGTGAACGAAACAAGCCCATGGTGGACAGTTGCGGAAGCTCGAAAGAGGGTGGTTGTTCGGTGGCAATCGTGGACATGTAGGAGGACGGGCAGCGCCGTCAGAGGTCAAGTCATCTAACCCTTCATCTCATTCCATCGTTTGTCGCGTCAACAGGTCCAAGTCATATGCACATCGGCAGAGCGAATAAAGATAAGTCGTGTGATGGACCGCCCTACTGGTACACGTAGTGGAGGATGAGACGTGTGAATGACGCATCCTTGATCAAAGGGGGCCGTATTGGCTTTCGCCACCCCCAAGCTTCCCGCCCGAGGCAATCACAACGTCTTTTCTTTCTTGCATATTATATTCACATTCATTGTTCGGGAGCAAACAGTCATGTGCAAGTAGAAGACAGCACGATGAAGAAGGAGTGCGAATGGTCGACATTCTCATTACTCATGGCACATGATAATTCGCCTTGCGGCGTCGTCCCGCCCCAGCACCTCGCTATGCATTTGAAACAAAACCGCCGCCCCCTCTATTCCTCCATCTGGGCTTTAAAGGCCGCCACCTCAGCTGGCGCCAGCCATCCCTTCTCCACCGCCTCTGCGATGAGGTCGTCGGTGCTCACCGGCAACAACGTCGGTGTGACGTTGTTGAGGTAGGTCGACACCTCCATCAACTTCCCCCACAGCTCCAACTGCAGCGTCTTTGCTGCCCTGCTACTGCCTGGCAAGGTGGCACCCCTGCCAGCAGAGGTCTTTGCCAGCATGTCGGCCAGGAGGTACCCGAGCCAGAATAAGTTGGACTTGGGCAGGAACCTCTCGTACTTGTCCCTTGCCTCGTATTTCAGTCCTTCAAGTTCGGCGCCCCCCTTCGCCTCCAGCTCAGCGGCCCTCGCCCACTCTCGGACGCGGCGATACGTCCTCCACTGCCGCTTCTCTGCCTCGTTCTCCGGGTTATAGGCCTCCGTTTCCCAGTACGACATTGGGTCGAAGACAATGATGTCACTGTCATCCCCAGCATTGATCCTGGCGCGTGAAAGGGTGTAGTCGATGATAGTGACTTGCAGGTTCGACATTCCCAGGACGACTTGTGGCCTGTCGCTCATCTCTTCAATGACTTTCTGTGATGCGTCCAGCGGGCCGTCCTTGGTCAAAGGCTTGAAGCAGATGTTGCCATTGTGCATATCGCGGTGTTCAAACTCGATTTGTTTTTCTGCCACAGCAAGGCTCATTGCCGTCTTCCAGAAGATGTCATACACCTGAAATGCTGACAAGGGTCTAAGATGATAGATGGGCTTCCCGACATCGTTCATTTCCAGGATCGCGTAAAGCTGTTGTGGAGAAAAGTCCTTCAAAGGGCTGGTATGGTGTGCCGAAACAGGTCTGGTTGCTTTGAATGTGTCGAATGCTTCAAGAAGGACATCTGGGTATTGGCCGCTAACAATATGAATGCCCCGGCAGCGAACAAATCCGTGCAAAGCATCGACCGACTGCATCAGTCTAACCTCTCGGCCTACTGATTCGAGGTCGGTGATGTCGTTGTTGCTCTCTTTTGTCAGTTTGAACGGAATGATTTTGATGATGAGGCCGCCTCGTTTCTCTAGATCCTC